ATGAAGTTGTTTGTGTTTTTAAAGATCCAAATGAGAATATATACGACATCCCTTCATATAATGGTGAAATTTATCGTTTAGTGATTACGAATAGTACTATTAATTTTGAAAAAAATATTTTCCGTAACGTTGAAAATTTAACTTCGGTCGAAATCAATTTTACTGATGTAAATGGAATGGAAGGGGCAATTTTTGGGAACTTTACCAATCTATTTTATCTGACGCTTAAGAACAACAAAAACTGGGACATTTTAAAGCACAACACCTTTCTAGGACTTAAAAAACTAGAATCTTTAATTATAGATTCAAATAACATAAAAGAAATCCAAAATGGCTGCTTCAATAGTCTTTTTAATTTACAAGTTCTTCAATTAACACATAACAATTTCAAAATTCTTCCAGATTTTGTTTTTAATTCCAACAAAGATCTTACGTCTTTGTTTATTAATAACAATCATATTGAAATACTTGAAGAACACAGTCTAGAGGGATTAAACAGTGTTAGTCTGATAGATCTGTCTTATAATAATATTCAAAGCCTAAATACCAAAGTCTTTTGCAATTTGAATCAATTACAACATTTGTATCTGTCTCACAACTCGATACAATCGATTTCACCTAGTTTTCAGATCGAAAATTTAAAATATTTGTATTTAGATAATAACGATCTACAAGTGGTATCTCCAATTTTTGAATCAGAGAATTTATCATTGATTGATCTATCGTCTAACAAAATAAGAGAAATTGATCCAAGTTCATTTTATTCCTTACGCAATCTTAAAACCTTATCATTAAAAAATAATAGTATTTCTACGATTTACTTGTCGTTTGAAGTAGTACGACCTTTATTTTGAAAGATCACGCACTTCAACTAATACCTACATATTATACAACCTTCTGATGATAGGATTAATTAGCAAACCATATTTAGTTAACATTGACCACTGGGCCAAAAAGAAAGTCATATAAGCAGTAATGCCTATAAGAAAGACTAAGGCGAGTATTTGTATATTATAATATAGACCCGGAAAATGCAGTTTCGTTTTTTACACATGATATACTAACGAATTTAAGAACGTACATTGTAGGTACTACGTTTAGCCCCAATTTTTCAACCCTAATCCACCTATTACATACATACACTACAGCAATTCTAGCCCTATATTTTGCCCTACTTTAATCTAGGGCTAAAGTTAGCACCACTTTGTTGTTAGAAACATGAAAAAAATCGATTTTGCCATGCCGTAGCTTCGTTAATAATGACATTATTGGACTAGTACACGTCATAATAATACAAAATTTAAATAAATCTTTTAGCTGCCGGCGGTGTTTGGGGTGCAGACGATCCAGGAGGAAGTGCGGCTCCACCCTGGGAAACGGCGCCTTGTCCCGGTGGAGCTGCCACCACATTACTCACTGGCATCACGGGGGCTTGAGGGGGAGGGTTGTCAGGCATGAATTTCACTAAAATTTTAACCCAATGTTATCCTACACACAAATACACAAAATCCCTATCAAATAGCTTGCTACATAAGTATTTCGCTCAAAAATGGTGCCAATTACGTAATCGTGGCTAATTTGTTACAGGTACATTTCATTTTTTATTGGGTACTTTTTGATTTGATAGTACAGTATAACAGTTGTATTGAAATGTGATGTCTTCTATCTGTCTTTCATGTGTGCAGATTAATTTTGCAAGTCGTAAACGGAGAACATGTACTTGGCAAAATTAATCTTTAATGTAATGAATGGTATGGAACGTTTAGAATAGTGTAACATGCAAAAAAAGTATTAAAAGGTAAATCTGAAAAGTATAAAAGCATGCCTGCATATATATAATATTATACTTATTACCTTTTCGTTGGTGTATATATGATTCTGACATTTTTTTAATGAATTACTATGAGAGTATGTTTGAAACTGTGTTGAATTCATTTCAATAATACTTTACCATTTTAGCGTTTATGATAAATTGTTTCCCTATAAGTACTTCTATTTTTTTTTGTCTCTATAAATGCACTAATATGTTTACATGCAAAGATTTTCGTTACCTAACGATTATTATGTAATAATATAGACATTCCTTCTGGTGACCTAATTTTAGCTTATTATGTGCATTCGTTTTAAGAAACTAGACGTGCAAGGGTGACCATGCAAAATGCGATGATGAAACATATCATTATCCTCATCGGTACTTTTTTAAAGACAGCATTGTAATTCGCGCTATGCCCGATAGATGGCAACACTTCAACTACCCAATTCTACTAATTAATAGAAAGGCTAGCCTTTATAAAGATCACATGGAGACAACAACTTCCCCACCACCGATCTGTTATGTAGCAGGCCCCCTCTATTTGATTAACAAGAGTAACATTATGTTTCAACATTCGGCATATAAAAATTGTGAAAAAATGGCAAAAAGAATATGAAAGTTCTCTATATATATAGATAGAAAGACAGACAGACAGACAGACAGAAGCGGAATATACAACAAATGACACAACAACAAAAAGTTTCTTTTTAGTTACCGAACGAACATGGTAGNCGGATACCCCGGAATTATAGTTTAATTAATGTTTTAAGTAGAAGATAATATTCTATTATTATTATCATTAAGTTCTGGCACCTTTAAAAGTGCTTTAATTCTATAACAACCCTTTGTTAATAAATAAATAAATATTAAAAGGGATTGTTTTGTTTTGGCTAAATATGGTATCGTTTGGCAACTCTCATTATGGCAGCGTCGCATGAAATATCTATGGGTGAAGAAAACAATAACATAACCTACTGAAAATATCTCGTGTTTTCTTATTAATTAATCGTAAAATAGAAATAAGTATTAATTGCAATTTATTTAGAAAAATGGCAGCGTTTTTTAGTAACGAAGCAGTTAGTTTAGATAAAACAGTAAATACCTCGAGTGTTCTAACAACAAAATCTGACGAAATAGAATCAGTGTACGATATTGAAAAGTGTACTAATTGGATTAAAGAAAATAATTTCAAAAATGTGAGTTATTCTTCCCTGTAACTTTATTTCCTTTTACATTATTTTATCTTAAGGTTTGTCTACAATTTCCTGATTTTCTGTTACCTGATTCGGTACAAATAAGTATACTTTTGGAGTCCCTTCTAGGAGGGCAACGTGTTTATATAATGGCTGATACAGCTTATGAAAGGTAAAAAATGATGTAAGGTCTCTTATTAAATATAATCTTTTAAAACATTTACTAGTTGTTGTATTGATTATCTAACAGCTGCACATGTAGATGGGGATGCAATAATCCATTTCGGTCCTATATGTTTTTCTAAAGAATCGGGTAAAGTGCCTTGTTTAAAAGTTTTCGAAAAAGGGAAACTTAATGTAGATGGTTTTGTGAATGCTTTTGGTTCATTCGATAATCAAAATAATGAGGAAGTAATAATCTTAATGGACACTCCATATTTAAATTATTTAGGTAGGCTGGTCATTGTTTTTCCTCATGTTTCGTTTCAAAATATTTACTAAGTTGCTTTTTTTTATTTTAGAAGAATTGCGTACAAACCTTAGCACTTTTAAAAATGTTTCGGTTAGAGATGTTACAGACTCTTCTTTAAGTTTAGGTTTACAGTGTACGATATTTGTTAGTAACAATTTAAGAAAGGTAAACATTCTTTCCCAAAGATATTCAGGTGAGAGTTACGCAACAATAAATGTATTGGGTGGTTGTTATTAACAATAATTGCTATTTTAAGAGGCCAAACTTTACCACTGTAATCCAGAGAACGAAAGTCCTTTGGAGATATTAAATTTCCAACAGGATTTGAGAGTTATTAAAAGGCGTAATTTTCTTTACGAAAAAATCAAAGATAGTAAAACTTTAGGAATAATCATCGGAACTTTAGCAATTAAAAATTATCTAAGTGTAATTGACAGGGTTAAAAAGCTCCTAAAACTTAACAACAAGAAATATTATCTAATTAGTGTTGGGAGACCAACGGTTGCCAAATTAGCAAACTTTCCAGAAGTAAGAAAATTAATTTTTCTTATTCAACAAAAAAAAATTTGAAGTCTCAGTTGAGATTCGAACCGTAAACGTAAATCGAGCGATTCAAATTCAACTTGGAACTTTACTTTTTTTTTTTGTTTTTTTATAACGTAAATGATACTATGTAGTGTATTAATTAATTTTATAATTTTAGATTGAAGTTTACATTTTAGTGAGTTGTTCTATGAACGAGCTATACGAATCTCGTGATTTTTATCAGCCAATAGTCACCCCCTACGACGTAGAAATGGCGCTCAACCCCAACGCCAAACAGCTCCAGTTCTCTTACGATTTTAATACATACTTTTCGGAAACAGATTTGGAAAATTTAAATTTAAGAAAAGCAAACGAAGATGCAGACGTAAGTTTAATAACAGGTAAAGTTAGACAATCTGTCACGCAAGAGGAGGACAGTGTTGATTTGGAAGAACAAACTCAAGTCGCTTTGGGCAGTGACGGTACAGTTGCCCTTAATACACATTATGGGGCGGGATTTTTAGGTGCCAGAAGCTGGAAGGGGTTGGACCCCAATTTAGGTAAAGATGAACCAGCTGTGATACAAGAAGGACGTAAGGGGGTGGCCATGGCGTACGAAAATGAACAAACGTAATTTTGGGGAAATGGTGAGCTTTCTAAGCTCATCCAAATGTATCTTTTTAGCACAATAAATAAATAAATCTTATGGGTCTATTTTATTTTTATAATTTAGTACAAGCACGTACCTATTGTCTAAAATGTAATAAAGATATTTATGATTTTGTTGTTTTGTGCTAATACTAACATTCGTTAAACAATCACATTCAGCACAAAACTGATTGTTACTTGTTTTATTATATTTCAAGCGAAACAAAAAGCACTGGTACCTTGCCTTTTATTTTTGTTCTATTATTGTCGCTTACTATAAAGCGATGTATAGTTTGTTTCAGGTATTAATGATTACTAAACAAACAAATGCAACGTGAATATTTATTTCTAACATAGAAATAATGCCAATCATTTTTTATTTGTTTTTATCTTTAAAACAGTAGAAAATGAAAACAAAAGTAGTCGTAAAGGAATACGACGGTGACAAAGACGCGAGGGTGGGGGGAGACTAACGAAAATAATGTGTACTAAATATTTTTATTATTATTCCGTGTTGTTGCTATCGTTTAAAAGACTTATTATTCCTTCTTTACCGGACAAAAGTATTTTGTCTCCTGTTTTAAACATTTCTGTTGCATTTTCAACCCCAACGATACAGGGCAGGCCATATTCCCTAGCTACCACTGCTCCTAAAGTGTTTATTAATTATTTATTTTTGATTTACAAGTAGTATAATTCACATACCGTGTGATATAAGTCCCCCTATTTCAGTAACTATCCCAGATAGCATGGGGAAGTACGGTGACCACCCTATGTCAGTTGAATAAGTGATAAGAATGTCGCCTGTAATTAAAGTAGTTATTAAGCATAATATTATTTATTATGTTATAAATACCATTTTTTAAATGGTCGATGTTGTCGATCGATTTTATAACACACGCTCTTGCTACCGCGTCTCCCGGATACACGGGAGTGCCCTTTACGGATACCCCTTCCCTATGAGAGGATAGCAGTTCTAGAAGGGACTTTTTCTTTAATGGCTCTGGAACTCCCCACACAATTTCGGGGAATTTCAGATCATTCCATTGGGGATAAAGTTTCTTTCTTCTTGTTGCCCTAAACAATTTTTTTTTTTTTTTGGGTTAAAGTAATTATACGATGGTTTTATTATTGCTTACTTAGCCACTAGTGCAATGTTTTCTTTTTTGATAATTTTTTCAATTTCGTACAAACTCAAATGAAAAATTAAATGGTCGTGGGGCAGGTGACCGTTGCGCACCATTCGCGTTGATAAAGTGCGAATTGCCCTTTTGAGTTTGTCTATTACCATTATTACATCACATTTTGTTTTTTCGCGATCCAGCATGGACTTTATGCACTTGTTGATGAAATACTTTAAGATGATCCTATAAATTTATTTGCGTCACGTGCTGTCCAGGAATGTCCATTTTTTATGGACAGTACTGTACATACCTTTTTGGATAACTTTTCAATGTCTGAAGTTTATTTAGAGTTTCGTCAACTGTTAAATTTTCTTTTGTTTTTTCGTGTGTTGTTTGCTTACGACAATTGGCCTGTATCATGCTAATGAGCCTGCTTGGATCTTCTTTCCATGAACGTTCAGCTAGTTCGAACTGGAATTAAACAATTGAATGAGTTTTGCGCATTTTAAGTTTAAAATTTGTACTTCTTTATAAACTCGGTGTCCGTGGATGTCTAGGAAATTACTCAGTAAACTTTTTACAGTTGGCGATTTATTTCCTAGCCATTCAAGTCCCAGTTTCGGGTCAATGTTGACGAATTCTTCGCTGATATTTTCTTTTTTTATAGTTTTTGCAATCAGTTCCAATTGTTTCGGAATTGTTGCCGATATAATGTTTGCTGAGATCGATAGTATCAATACAATGTCTTGAAATACTTCGTCATTTATGTCTGTAAATGTATGTTATTATTTTTTTTTTAATATTTTCTGGTTTTGTAATTGCTTACCGGTTTTGTTATTGGTTAAGACGCTGAACACGATGGCTTGATAAAAAACATTAACCCTCGAGATGTGGCAGTATCGGTCTGTGACCGTTTCTATAATTTTCAATGCCTCTTTGATTTTTTTGAGTATGGTTTCGCAAGAATCGTTATTATCGATTATTATTTCTAGATTTTTTGCAATTTGTTCGGTCTCTGCTACAGTGGCATCAGTATTTTTGAAAAGTGTTAACATTTCTGGAATTAACTGATAAGTTTTTTTGGTTCCGAAAATTTTTTTTGCCATATTGTGCATCTTTTCGTTTATGGCATAATGCCCGAAAACGGCCAGTTCACAAGCCCTTACTCCCATACTTATATCTTCTTCGGTTCTTGATAGTAAAGTCTAAAAGATTCACATTCAATAACATCGAAACTATTTGATACGTATACATGTACAGTGCTGTTCATTGAAAATGGACAAAAGAGATTGTTCACTTGTTTTACGTCATTTGTTAAAATGATCCGCTTTTGTTTTTACAATTGTTTCGTCCATTTTCATGAACGTTACCGTACGTTTATTATGTCCATCAGACAGTTATGATGACTCGTAATTATCGCTTTGGCTTTGACTTTGTTAAGGTTTGTAAAAGAGTTGTTTATGGTCGTAGTAACGAGGTCGTGTGATAGAACGGTCTCTGCCCCAGGTTTTACCTCCCCCACGTTGGCTTTGGTGTACGCGAAATCTGGTCCCACTACGGGGGTATCATATTCGTGGGTCAGTTCGAAATCCGTCCACGAATTTAATGTTGTAACTGGTCGCGATTGTAAAATGTAAAGTTGACCCTACAAATTGATTTTACCGACTTCAGTTGTTACTTAGGGCGTGTTTTGTTTTTTTTTTTATTTGACCTCGCAAAAGGACCATTCTATGTCCCTCGGCGACCCAAACGTTTTTTCTATGTGCAAGCCAACTTTTCCTAATGTTAGTGCTTGTTCGGACGATAAACTCCATTCTCCTTCCGATTCCGGGTCGATTTCGGTAACTTTGGTACCCTTGTGTGCCATAACAACTTTAACTTTTTTCGACCCTTTCTGTTTCGATAATATGGAAATCTTGTCGTCCCAGGTCTTTGATAAAATGTAGGTGTCAGGGTCGGCTTGCCCAGATACGACACTCTAAAAATGTTTACGTCATGGGGAGGGTTGTGAATTTTTGTTATCGTTTTTACCTCTCCAAGGCCGTAATTGGAAGTTATGACCATTTGGGACATATCGGATGTGGAAGGGTGACATGTAAAGATTACACCGGAAGTGTCCGACGGGACCATTTTCTGTACGATTACCGCCATGTCGGTGACGATGGGTAGTCCATGGTTCCTTCTGTAGTGGACGCTTTGAAATGTGAATAACGACGCCCAGCATCTCGGTACAGCTTCTAAAATTTCTTCTTCTGTTTGGCAACCCAAATATGTCGCGTTTTGACCAGCGGTTGAGAATTCCTCCGAATCTTCGATGGTTCCTGAAAAAAATTATCGATTTTTAGTACAGAGTGCATTTCGTTTTGAGTTTGTTCATTTATCCACCTGACGATCGGACTGCCCATTTTACTTCAGGCGTACCATTTTTTGAGGGCAAATTCAAATTTTTGATAATTTCGTTTGCAATATCTCGAGGTACTGGTTCTTTTGCTAACAAACTGGTAACTCTAAAAATTGATTTTAATTAGCGATTTATGTCAGATGTGGCAACGACGTTAATTAACTCTTCACAACAGTCTCCAATATTTCGATCACTTTTTCCGAAACAGGCATGCTCTAGTTGTTCAAGGGCCCGTTTGATGTTCTTATTTTCTTCTAAAAGTTTGTTTAGGGCATTGCTAAGTATTACAAACCCCGCTGGCACAATAAACTAAAATAATATTGTAAGTAGTACGTAAAAGTTGTAGTTTAAAGAAGAATACTTACGTCATTCGTTTGTATCGCTGTGAGTAGGGATAGGGAAGCTCCTTTTCCTCCTGTCAGGGCTATTTTAGTAGACAAGGGGTCGGTAAAGGGTAGTACAAAATTTTCTGGCGGCAAGTAGTTTTTCGAATGTGACGGTTTGACTATAGTTTGAATTCGGACTTTGTCTTCTAAAAAATAATACGATTATTTAAAGTTGGATTTTTTTTTGTTAAATATGTTACCGGAATTTTGAGTTTGATACCAAAAACTGATGATCCCTTTGGCATCTTCACCATTAACTACACAATTAGCTAAGCCTTGCTTTCTAATCCAGCCATCTTGGAACTTGTTTTCGAATTGTATTATTGTTTTTGGGTTTATATGAATTACGCACTTTAAATCCTTACCGTCAACTGTAAATTCAAAATGTTTAGTATAAGGGATGTTTCTGGAGTAAGTAGCAAGCTTGCAGAGGGTGATAGGGCATTATAAAACAAGAAAATTAAACTTAGTGGTTCGAAAGTAAACCGTTTTCGAGAAAAACGTATTTGAATGTACAATCAAGGGGCAGTCCGGTTCTGGAAGGAAACGCGACATTGCAACGCCGTATTCAATTAGCTGCAGCATCCATGTTGTATGTGTTTTTGTTTTGTATTTTGTGTTCTCAATACCACATTGAGATGTACTTTAAACAGTACTGCATACTATCAGCGATGAACAAAGTAATTATTTCATTAATTGTTATTACAATGATGATTATGCGTAGTAGCTGTTGATATTTACTTTATTAGCCTTTCCATAGCCTGTTTAATGTTTATATTTTTTATCGATGTAGTTACTTAGTTGTTATCGCAATTTCTCTATGTACTTATACGTTGTTAATTCACGACCAGGGTCGGCTTCGGATTGCAACTTCGTCTAGTTTTCTGATTGCATTTAGTTAACACCCTCAAAAGCATGCTTTTTTTTTTCAGAAACACCCTGTACAATTAGTGATTGGTTTTTGTTATCGTTACTTGCCAGAAAAATGTGCTGTTAATGTTTTTGGTACGATTTCGTCCGCTCCTTGGTATTCCAAGAAAATATCGTTTTCCTTTATCGCAAATAAATTCCCATTCCCAAAATATACGGTCCCATATCTCAAACTAGCGACAGGAATATTTTTAATAAAGCATAAGAATATTACGTAATTTATCTGTTTTACTTTTTACAACCCCATTTGAATCGTTTCGCCCCAATACAAAATAAGGTACCATCACGCGCGGTAACGTACAAACAAATATCTCTATCGAGGCAATAAGTATCCGATGTTCCGTAATATCTTTTACGGAATCCGGGAACATGTAGAGGGGTTTCCGCTGGGAACTGGGCACCCCCAATATATCCTATAAATGCGCCGTATTGTTCGTACCCTTTTTGGTCACCCCTAAACAATTTGTCTTACAGATATTAAACTAGATGAGTCTGTTTGAAATTTTACTTTACATTAACTCCAGCCACTCCTGATCTTTCCATTCCTCCCTTGATATATCGTCCGCCAAAAGATTGGTGGTGTAATCTTGAGGAGATTTAATAAGTGAATTTGATGCCGCATTCCAACTAAAATTTTTAAATTTTAAAAATGGAAAAATACGTGATTTTTTAATGGTTTTTTTACATGAATCGAAATTGGACATATTCAATGTTATTGTTGCTGTCGTTTGATAGACGGTTTCTTAAAAATCCATGATAAACTACTCTAAGTCTTTTAAATGGTTCTATAATCCATATTCGAAGGCNGATGAATTATCCATTAACGTCTGCGATATCAAAAATTTATAACGAAGAAAATGACGAAATTAACGAAAGTGGCATGGTTGGTTATATAAATTCACTTGTACCACTTTTGTATGATACTTGGTTGGAGGTGTTGCCAGAAGAGTTGGGACCAAATAAAAATAATGGTACTTTTTTGGGATCATTTGGGGCTATTACTTATCTAATATTTTTTTGCAGAGGGGACAGTGTTGTCTCAAGAGGCCGCGTCCATTTTTAAAAGTATTTTGACAATCTTTTATTTGCTCTGGCAATTAGTTAATCATGAGGGTAAAAAATCGGCCCAAGAAATGGTAAAATAAAATATTGGATAGATACTAACGTAACTTAACTAAACTTTGTGTATTTTTGGTAAATGTCTAGATCTGGGTGCGATGATGGTCTAGATGATGGCCCCCACCCCCTTCAGGGGTGGGGATTTGGGCGATTGAAAGAGGAGGTCTCCCTAAAATATTTCGATATTTCAATTTTATTGTAATTTTTTTATTTAATGTGAATAAATTTTATGTAGGTACCTGATAAAACGGCAAATGTTTTGGCTTTTCTATTGAATCGTAACTCTCCTTGTCAAACAATCTTTCACATTCTTTTTGGTATTTTTTGACTGCTTTAATGGCAAAATATTTCTTTACAAAATGGTACCATTCTTTAAATAGAATTATTAGACAGGAAGTTTTGTAATAATTAATAATAAGTCATTTCTTTACCTAAATTCGTATTGATGCTTTTACCATTTTTTGGCTCCTTCAAGAACAAGAAATAAACAAATATGGGCAACACGAATAAACTACCACAGTAACAAATTTCGTAAAAGAAACTTGACATTTTTTAAATTTTACACATCAAAGTAGTTTTGCTTTAAATAGGGAACTTATATCTGTAATTATGCAATGAAATTTGAAATTCATGTTCGATTTTATCTCTTAAAAGTTTGTTTTATCTCTCATGGTATCACCTGATAAGACCATATAATCGATTATTTGGAATAAAGTTACATCTGTTTAACAATAATAATTTATTCTTGTCAAATATCGATAAGATAACAAGTAGTTTATAACGCTTAAAGTTAAAATTGCTTATTAATTTCGTTCTCTAAAACTCAAATATGGCTGAATATGACGCCATCTTGGAATCATTGATTCCATTTTGTGTTGTGTTTTATATAAATATTAAATGATAAATACAATATTTTGAAATGTATTTAGTAACTATTATTTTCCATTATATGTATTTTGTTTTAAAATACGTTTAACTAAAACACCTATAATGAAAAAATTTCAACAATAGGCGAAACGTTGACATCGGTCTTACAATTAATAAAAAGCCTTACAGCTTTAATAAAGCTTGGATTTCTATAGATAGATATGTTAAAATGATAAAAAATTAGTTAACGAGATGGTAATTGTACATAAAGTTACTTTTGGCTTGACAGTAGACACAGCCATGTTGAAATTTTGATGGAGCCCCTATATTTTTAGGTTATATTTTAGTTTTGGTAAATTGTTTTTAAAGTTAAAATAATGGCAAAGAGCCACAAAACTAAAAAACATTTAAAATCAGAGAAGTCCAAAACGAAGTTAAAGGGTAGGGACTCCGATAAAACAAAATTTCTGCCAAAGGGGGCCAATGTCACCAATGTGAATTTTAAAATAAAACAAATAGTGGTTCCTGAACAATTAAAAACGCATGGCGAAGATGAAATTGTCAGTAAAAGAAAACTGAACATAAAGGCAAGTCTGTAGCATTATTTCTTAAATGGAGCAAACTTTCATTTATTCATTAATTTATTAGGATTTGCTATCAAGACTGAAGCATTATAACACTAATATTAAGTCTGATGCCCTGCAAGACTTGATAGAAGTGTTTAGTTCTTACAAAGAGGAACCAGTTTCTCTAGTTATAAAAAGTTACATTTCACAAATATTGCAAAACACTTGCAGTTTAATTCTTGATAAAGAAAAAAATGTAAGGCAAAAGGCAATAAAATTCATTTCACTAATTCTGTCAACTGTAAGTTTCCAATTATTTATA